AAGGGCTACCCAAAAATGGGCGACAGGGGGAGTCGCAATGAACAGAGAAAGATGGGGTCCATCTCATTAGATTCATCGTAAATCCAAAGAAATCCCAGGAATTTTTAATCCAAAATCATTGAAAATCAGAATCAGAGTCAAAATTAAACAGAATCATATATGAATGGAGAAGCCTTACGGAATATGGATGAGAAAACCCTAACACCGCCATAGTTTTCCAAATTGCAGGAAGGGGGTTCGATCATTGGGGAAGGTCCCAACAAGAGTGAAACATAAATTAACCGAAAGAACGTGAATATCAGAGTCAGAGAAGATGACTTCCGGGAAGCCTTTGAAACGACCGGTCTTGGCTTGGATTCTCTCTAAGTCGATGTCGGAGAAGGAAACAAACTGAGATTGCAGGTGTTGGCTAGGGAAGGGTGATTGGTCCCAAGTGAGGCAAAAGTCTAGAGGGGGGAGGGGGGGAGGGGTGTATAGATTTTTGAATTTTTTTCTTTTTCAACCCTTTTTCCTCTAACAGAACGAGTTCCAATATCTTTTGGGAGATATTGAAACCTACATCGAAAGTTTTGACCTCAAGAGTGAGACACTTTATAGTAACAAAGTTTATGACCCTTTTAGTTGTGTGAGAGATGGGATAAACAGAATGAAAATGTATTTGTCTGCAGAATCAGCTGGCTCAAGGAGTTGGCTGCTGAACCCCTCAGGAGCAGGCTGCTGATAGCAAGAGCTGGCTGCTGAATTTCTCATGAGCTAGCTGCTGATTTCCGAAGTCAACCACTTCTATGATCATGTTTGCTCTCTTTCTCACTTTATATCATTGATTTTCTTTTGAACCTTTTAGATCCCTTTTGTGAAGTGGTCGACTTCTCAAAAATGTTGTCAACCAGAGGGATATATGTAAGGTTCTTTGGTATAGGAGTACGGTTAAGGTGGATATATAGTGATGTAAAAATATATAGTTGGTTACTGGTCTATTTGTTGAGGAGTGTCAAGTGCGCATGGATAATGGATAGATCAGTAAGTGTTTGTTTTCTAGAGGTTGGCGACAAGATAAGTTAAGTCAAATTCAATATCATTCCAGTTTTATGATCTTCATTAGCAATGAGCTTAATGAGACTTCTCGGTTATATTCCTTATAAAATTAATCTTAATCATCATGTTATCCTCTTAGTAAATTCACTATTTGGACTTTCTGAAGTTTAAGATCATTCAGTTTGTGAAAGGAATAAACTTATCTGAATGTTCTTTTGAGTGAAGCACAGATGGGATAAAGGTTTGAACACTCAAGATAAACCGAGTTACTGGAAATGTATTTGAATATACCTCTTCATGAGCATCTTTCTTTGATGGAGTTGGCCAGAATCGATAATGTCATGAGAGCAGGTTTGACTTCTTCTTCTTGTTTGCAAGGCAGTCCCTTCTTTAACTTTGTGAATCCAGAGCTTGAATAACAACATGTTTTCTCCTTTGTTGTTTCCTTTCCTTGTTGATGAGTATCCTTCATAATGTTTTCCATCTCTTTTGACTATAAGTGTTTACGGAAATTGGTGGTTGATCTTTTGTTCAAAATAAGCTGATAAGAAACTGACTCTATGAACAACCGCTCTGATACCAATTGATGGATCCTAAGTAAGCCAAAAGTCTAGAGGGGGGGGGGGGGGGGGTGAATAGACTTTTGAAATCTTTTCATTTTCAACCTTTTTTCCTCTAACAGAATAAGTTCCAATATCTTTTACGAAATACTGAAACCTTCAGCGGAAGTCTTGACCTCAAGAGAGTCACAGTTTATAGTAACAAAGGTTATGACCCTTTTAGTTGTGTGAGAGATGAGATAAACAGAGTGTAAATGTGTTTGCCAGAATCAGCTGGCTCAATGAGCTGGCTGTTGAACCCCTCAGGAGCAGGCTGCTGATAGCAGGAGCTGGCTAAAAACGTGGCAAGCCGTGCAAAATTAAAGGCACTTCCCGCACGAGTAAGATCGCCCGTGCCATGGTACTTGGAGTGGAGTTGAGTCAAGATTCAAGAAGTCCAGGAATTTAGGCGGTATCTATCACAACAACGACAAGACGTTCAGGAGTGAGACACTCCACGTCTCCACGAGGGAGTCTGCAGCAAGATCAAAGGAGTGGAATAAGGTAAAAGATTGCTTTGCGTTGCCTTCCACAATTATTTTGTTATCTCCTCATCCATTTATGTTCTCTTTATAATTTTCATTTAGTTCTATATTTATTGCTGCAGGTTGTCGAAGTTGTGTCACAATTGGAATTCCAAATTTGTTGGCGATATTAATTCCAAATTTGTTGTCGATATTCTGCATGTTGAAAAATAATAAAACCAATCATTCTATAAAGAATGAGCTACAACAATTTAGTTGCAGTAAGTTTAAGCCATCATTTCCATCATTTGCAATGGAACCAAAGATTCATTATTTTTTGGCTTGAGATTATGATGGAATAAAGCAAAATGACTAACTAAACTGTCTGCGCTTCTTTGTTATGAAGCAGCCGTCAGTCCATACAATTTTGGACGAGATTTTCACTATGCGTCATCCGAAAACAGTCTCTCTGTGCTTTAATACAGGGGTAAGACTGCGTACATCCGCCCTCCCCTTACCCCACCGTAGGTGGGAGCCTTTGCGGCACCGGGGTAAATGAAAATGAAAATGAAGTTTAAGCCATCAAATGTTAGTTGCCATCAAATGTTAGCTGGTGTAGTAGAGAAGTTGATATTATTTAAAGTTTATTTTTTCTTTTAGAAATATATCTACATACAAATTACAAATATACAAACCAATGCCACGTCGAGCCCTTTGTATACATTGGCTGAAATGAATGCTTCCGTTTTGAGAAAATTCAGTTTATTCAGTCACTATTTCAGACAAACGACATTGAATGAGCTCATAGTCATATAAAGGTATGGTGAAGCATACTGCATAGGTCTTTCATACTAAAGATAATTTCTTAATATGGTGAAGCACTGAAGCATACTAAAGATAATTTCTTAGTATGGTGAAGCATACTGCATAGGTCTTTAGATTTCATTCAATCTTTAGATTATACTAAAGATTTCACAAAGAAATAGTTCAATAAACAACTTCACAAACATATACTAAGCATAAAACTAGATTTCATACTAAAGATAAAACATAATTTCAGAAAACATGCAAAACTAAATATGAATATTTCTGATTTCTTAAATAAAAAAAGACCACGTTGAAATAAAGAAAGAACCACTAGACCTAAAGAAGATAAGAAAAGCATAAAAAAGACCACATTGAAATAAAGAAAGAACAACTAGAGCTATATTTGAAGTTATACACTTATACGTAGTATAAGCCTAAATAAAGACCATTACAATTTAGTTATTCAAGAATGCTTCATTGGCATTTTATACAGCTTTTCAAGAATGCTTCAGTGACCTGCAAATGAAATAAAGATTTATCATTACAAATTAGCTAAATAGAAGTGAAAATAGAAACTACAAAATGACAAGGTTATTTTGCCATGAAGAATTGTTTTTTAACCAAAACCAAACGAATAGCTACTACATTTGCAATTGCATCCGAAAAGATATATGAACATTCAAAAAACCATTGAGTCATTTTAACAAACATCTTGTGGGCATAAACATAAAGTGACTAGTTTTACTAAAAAATTGAATTACTAACATCACAAAACTATAGCAATGAAATAAATCGTCAAGAATAATCTTTTTTGAAAAAATTCCACTTTTGGTCCCATGACTATTATACCACTTCTACATTTAGTCCATTACTTTCAGATTGTCCACATTTAATCCGTGACCATTATCCATTCACCACCCCTCGTCCTTCCGGCCAAAATTCCGGCAAATTTAGTCCAATTCTAAGCCTCAGAACCAGACTTTGCATTAAATTTTGTATCAGGTTGGATTTTTCATACCAATCCTTGCATTAAATTTGGTTTTTCATACCTAAAATCTGCATTAAATTTGCCGGAATTTTGGCCGTAAAGACGAGGGGATAACGGTCACGGACTAAATGTGGACAATCTGAAAGTAAGAAACTAAATGTGGAAGTGCTATAATAGTCATGGGACCAAAAGTGGATTTTTTTCAATCTTTTTTCAGACAGAATTTCAACAAACATGTTATGAGCATAAATGTGAAATAGACTAATTGAATTAAAATTTCAATTATTAACCCTATATTCTATTACAATAATACAAAATATTCAACTACTCACTGTTATACCATGCATTATATACAAACAATCAGAAATTTAAAATAAACAAAAGCCTAAAGTGCATATAGAAAAATCGAATAGCTTACCTCAATTTATGTGCTGGTTGATCGGAACTTCTTGTTTGAGCGGACCGTTTCATCCTCTCCGTCTGTGCCGATTCCGATGGCAATCATACGGCTGATGGGAGAAACACAAACGAACAAATGAAATGGGAAGGGAGGAAAAAGGAGAGGAATGGGGTGAGATGCGTACGAGAAGGGATGTGAGAGAAGGAAGTGGGAAGAGGGGTAAAAACTTAAAAGAAGGTAAAAAAATTAAAGTCATTTTATACTAGAAAAATGTCAAATAAGTCTTATATGGGAGGTTTTATCTGGTCGTCACCATTTGTAGTAGTTCTCGGTCGATTTTTTTGATGAAATTTTTTGAGCATCTTATTCATTAAATCTAGTTACTCATACCAAATTTCAGATAACAATTCAATTGGAAAGACATTCAAATGAATTTTTGAAGATAACTGCGTAGTTATGTTGAAGAATTCATTTGAATGCCTTCCCGATTGAAGTTTTAGCTGGAATTTGGTATGAGTAAACTAGACTTAATAAATAAGATGCTCAAAACATTTCATCAAAAAATTGAATCGAGAACCGCCCCAAATGACGACGGTCGGACAAAGATTTCTATATAAGAACTTATTTGACCTTTTTGTAAAAATTGAAGGACCTTTTTGACCTTTTTATATAGTAGTGTACATTAAGCAATTTTGTCAATCCTATTAGCCACTAGTTGCCTCCTAAAGTATCACAGATAGTACATGCTTACGGATCAGGGACCTGAAATGGAAACGTCCAACTTTATGACTTCTTCTTCAACTTCGGATGTTCGACTTAAAGCCTCCTCCGTAGCATCACCTTCTTCTTCCTCTACAAATTCACCAACCTTTTTACGCAATCAGACTTGTACAGCTGCGAATCAAGGCATAGATAGAAATCCGAATTCGAATTTGATGACCCTTGATAGATTCTTAGAGGATGTGTACGGCGATCATCAAGCTGCTACTGGGAGTACTCTGTTGAATGCTGAAAGTGAGCCTCGAGATGTAGCTGAAGATAATTTGATGACGACTCCTATCACTAGACCTGTGGTGCGGAAGACAGTGGACGATGTTTGGAGGGAGATCGTGGAGGGGAAGAAGATGCGGTGGAAGGAGACGTTGGCTGTGGAATGTAAGGAAGAGGAAATGGATGAAATGATGACCCTAGAGGATTTTTTGTTGAAGGCTGGGGCTGTCGATGAACGTGCAGTGGAGCCCTTGCCTCTGGAGGTGAAGATCGAGCCTGTCTGCGAGAGGTTTAGTGGGGGAAGTTTCTTGTACGACAGTCCCATCATGTGTACTCCACAACATAGTATGGAGAAAATGGAAGGATTTGGGAATGTTTTGGAGGTAAATGGAGTAGGGAGAGGGAAGAGGAGAACTGTTTTGGAACAGCTGGACAAGGCTTCCATGCAAAAACAACGGAGGATGATCAAGAATAGGGAGTCTGCAGCAAGATCCAGGGAGCGGAAACAGGTAAAAGATTGCTTTGCGTTGCCTTCCACAATTATTTGTTGTCTCCTAATCCATTTATGTTTTCTTTAATTTTCGTTTAGTTCTACATTTATTGCTGCAGGCCTATCAAGATGAGCTAGAGTCTTTGGCAGCAAGACTGGAGGAGGAGAATGAGCAGTTATTGAGAGAAAAGGTATTACATTTGAGAATTCAAGCATCATGCTCTCATTAATGTGGCGTTTCCTCAATACTCTGGTGGTGACAATGGTCATATATTCTGCTGCTTCAATGTTTTGCTTATCAGCCATAAACTGTTGAACTTTATGTTGGAGATGGAGCATATAAAGGCAGGATCCAACCAATTTTTTTAATTTTCAGCTGTTCTTTACAACATTTGGGTGCTCGCTATTTCTTAAGTTTGGGAATAGTCATAATTTGTCAAGTGATCCTCTGAATAAAGTATGGAAAGTTCATATTCATATCAACTCATCCCCTCGTAAGGCACTACGATTACTTTTTTGGTGTCTTAGGTACAGTATTATGGTTAAGTGACCTAAACTAGCTCCTCAAATGTAGCATTCGATGCGTGTAGATTGTAGAATAACATTTCTGTTCTGACTTGGTAATGTTATCAAAAAGTACTCCGTATGATTGAATATTAAAACTTGTGGTTAAGATTTGGGTTAAAATGTGTGAAACAACATCAACACATTTCATTTGTTAAAAGGAATTTCGAATATTGTTTTGAGACAATAATAGAGACCTAGATAGTACTAGTAGTAAGAATAATATTGGTCTAGCCCAAATGCAAAATAATAAATAGGAGTTGGGGGAGTAGAACAGAGGCAGGCAGAACTTGGGTCTTGGGTTGGGAATTGGAGAGTGAGACTGCTCTGAGTGTCTCTACCTCTCTGGTTGTATTTTCTGTTTCGTCCACCAGTTTCTTCCTCAATTTACATAAAATTTCCGTTAGATTGTAGTGTCTAACATCTGTATCAGAGCAGTTCATTCATGTGGCTATTTGTGAGCATCGCTTGGATAATCTCAAGCAGAACATGGAGCGCAACACCGCAGAGGTGCGATCGATGGTGGAAGAGATGCTCCACATGTTGCGCAAACTTCGTCGCAGGCGACATAGAGACCGCGTGAGGAGCCCTCCAAGACGCCGTCGGAATTCTGGAAACCAGGTGCCATCTTCGTCGCTAAGTGCGCAGACTGTGTCGCACGAAGAAGCTCACAGATCGCAATCGACAACTTCATCACTATAAGTTCTTCTGAGTTCGCAGGGTTCTTCTGAGTCTCTAGCCGCGTCTCAGAGTTCCAGATCGTCGTCGCTACTCGTATCTCACCAATCGTCATCGCAAGAGGCTTCTAACAGTTCGCAAAGGGCATCTCAAAACGCGTCGCACAGTGCTCTCACGTATTCTTCCCCTTCACAAATTGTTTCACACTCAGACTCTCCAGGTTAGCAACAGGAGTCTCCTGTTAACCTGCAGCAACCTTCCTCTGAAGACACGTTCAGCGACGGTGACAATGGACGCAATTTTCTGCGGTGACTCAAACCTCATTACCATGGAAAATAAATCGGAGGATGATAAATTTGCTGGTTCTGAATGGGAGAACCAAGTGGTTTCTGAAACCTCTATAGGTATGGCATATTCAACTACACATACCAGTGTGGGAGGTCCGGTCACTACTGAGCTTCACGTGGAAAGAACTCAAGGTTCTGATGTACATGCAACTTGCTTTACAAAATGTGTTCAGAAGGAAATCTCAAGCTACTTCGTATATGGTTTCTACAAATGGAATTAATAGCGAAGCAAGATATGCAACATTTATCAGTGCCCTAGAAAATGGAATACAATCAGATATTAAACATGATGCTACCACAATGCATCAGCCAGTAAATGATGTTGCAATGCCTCAGGAAGTGGAACAATTATGGAGCACTGTGATAACGTACTTTGGTGCCTGGATGATAGAGAGCAAAAAAATAGGATGGGGCGGGAACGGGCTTGGGCCCACTTCCGTGGGCCAGTTATGGGCTGGGTTATCCGTGGGCTGAGTTTTTAATTTAATTAGCTTCAATTATGTTAGTTCTTTTATTATTGCTATTTATTATATTAGAATTCCCTTAGGCTTTGTGCACAAGTAATTTCCTTTCCCTTAGGCTTTGTGCGCAAGTCTGTTTCCCACTGGGTTAGGCTACGTACAATTAATTAGCTTATTTAGTCTCCTACTGTCCTTATATATATATGCATTATTTGCAGCCTTTTTATTTTATCATTTCTATATATACTCATCTTTTTTATATTATCTTTTCATAATAGCTTATCTTTTATCTTTATTCCTTCTTTTCCTTTTGGTTGTGATATCATGTATCGATTCATGTTAGCTGACCCCAATATCTTTTGGGACTAAGGCTTGGATGTTGTTGTTGTTGTTGTTGTTGTATTTAGTCTCCTACTGGAACTTGGATGTAGGTAGTATTATTTATACCCACGCAGGGCTATTCAATCGATCATCAATAAGATTCATATTTATTAAGCTAAATTAGCTTGGGCAACGAATTCTTCCGTTGATTATTCTGGGCAACGGTTTACCCCGTTGATTTTATTTTTCTGTTACACAACAATTGGTCTGACCTGCCATATCCTGTCCCGCCAAGATGACAAGAACTCAGAACGATCGTTTGACAGAACTAGAGAACGAACAAACCCTAATTAACCAGAAGCTTGATGCGCATGGACTGAAGCTGGAAGAACACGGAATCCAGCTTGAGGAAATCGCGGCTTCACGGGCACCAATCGCAAAGGCCATGGTGCCGCCTGAGAAATCGCCAACTGTGACCACTCAAAGCGACTCGTCTGGGCATGTCGCGACTACACCCTTCGTTGATGGAGGTCTGCGCAGCGAGGCATTTGCCCTTCTTCCTTCGTTCGACGGTGAAGACCCGATCGGGTGGTTGGCAAGAGTGGAGCAGCAATTCGAGCTCAACAGGACCCCACCAGACCGACAAGTTGCAGTTGCTAGAGTTTTATGGAAGGGGCTGCCCTCTATTGGGTGACTTGGTTGAAGGCGTGCAAACCCGACATGACATGGGAGGAATTTAAGCAGGCCCTGGTGGCCAGATTTGATTCCCGATATCAGGGGAACAAGTTTGAACGGCTATCAGGTGTCAAACAAATTGGGTCGGTGGAGGAATGCAATACCTTGTTTGTTCAACTGGCTAGCCAAGTTCCGGGATTGACCGACATCATTATTTGGGCTATTACATGAGTGGACTTAAGGAAGCGATCCGAAGTTCGTTGCGATTACTTCGGCCAGAAAACCTGGAGAGGGCCATGGAATTAGCTCGCGATGTGGAGCATAATCTGTCCGTTCAAAGTGGAGGAAGTGGCAACCCGAATTATAATTCTTCAGGGGCACGTTCCAGCAGCTTTTTAATGGCAAACACGGGTCCTCCGTTGACTGCCAGTGGTGGCAGCTTACAGGGTTCAAGGGACAGCTTTGCGAAAGATAGCGGACAACCTCCGGGTACAAAGTCAGGGTTGTCCGGGCAGCCTACGACACACTCTCAGTTCACTCGTCTTCCGCCAAAGGAGTTTGCAGAATTGAGGGCGAAAGGATTATGCTTTAGGTGTAAGAAGTCATTTACACCAGGGCATGACGGCCCCTTTAAGCAGTTGCGGGTAATGATAGCTGAGGAGGATGAGGAGTTGGACCTCCAACAGTATGAGTACTGTGAAATAACCGGCCAGGAAAAGGTTCAGGAAGGAGATGAAGAATATTTTCCAGTCTATTCTATGGCTGGAAATTTCAGTCCTCGGTCGGCCAGATTTCAACCTTGAGGGCAAGGTTATTTCGAAGGGGATGGATTGATAGAGAGCAAAAAGAGTATGGGCGGGAACGGGCTTGGCCCACTTCCGCGGGCCAGTTATGGGCTGGGTTATCCGTGGGCTGAGTTTTTAATTTAATTAGCTTCAATTATGTTAGTTCTTTTATTATTGCTATTTATTATATTGGAATTCCCTTAGGCTTTGTGCACAAGTAATTCCCTTTCCCTTATGCTTTGTGTGCAAGTCTGTTTCCCACTGGGATAGGCTACGCACAATTAATTAGCTTATTTAGTCTCCTACTGGAACTTGGATGTAGGTAGTATTATTTATACCCATGCAGGGCTATTCAATCGATCATCAATAAGATTCAGATTTATTAAGCTAAATTAGCTTGGGCAACGGATTCTTCTGTTGATTATTCTGGGCAACGGTTTACCCCGTTGATTTTTTTTCCAATTATACAACACTGGACTACCCGTATAGAGAAAAAGGAGAAAATAGCAGAGGGAAATGATGGAAAGAAGCTCAAGGGAATCATCAGTGTGTGTGATGCTACCGAGGGACTAATCGAACAGGGATGGATAACGAAGATTGAAAAGCACGGTTGTGTTGTTCAGTACTACAATGGCGTGCAAGGTTTCCCTCTCCAGTCTGAGTTGGGATTAGTTCCGTTCTTTAAATTAAACTCAAGTTGTCATGTTGCACCAAAGAGGAAGTTAGATGGGCATCTTACTGTTATGAAGAAATTCTTGTACTTCTCTGGTGAACTGGAGGCTCGTGTGACTACATTACGTAGGGAGGTTATGACGTATGGAAATATCTGGACAGTATCCTCCTGGCTCGGTTCATGAACCCTTATAGGCTGAAACCCCAGCGATGGCCTTAACAGATTAGCAAAGCCAAGTCTAGAACCCTTGCTTCCTCTCCCATCTGGGCCAGTAGTAATTAGAGTATGGACCTCTGCCAGGGCTGCATGAGAAAGATAAGTACCATAAGTGTAAATATACTTATGAGGCCATAACAGCTGCTGTGCAACTTTCAGCTAGATACAATCCTGATAGATATCTTCCAGACACAGCCATTGATCTTATTGATGAGGTCTATCTTGAAGCCTGATTTTAAAGTTGACCAGCTTTTGGTTCTTGATGTGGAAGGCTGCAATTTGGTACTTTTTGCAATTAGGGACTCCTCTGATTCTGGACTGAGATGGACTGATGAGTTTGCTCTTGGTAGCAATGTTGAAGGAAATGTTCATAAAATAAAGGAGTTTGGTGCGGTTATCACTTTTAAGAATCAGGACACCAATATGTTCATTCTTATTCTGCCCGAAGTTCATCAGGATCCGGTCCCTGAAGCTCATTCTGTTGCTGCAAGAGCTATTGGCTCTCTTATAGGAGAAAGGAAAGAAGAAAACTTCCCAGACTTGGGACTTTGGCGGTTAGAGAATCTGAAATTGCATGGCAGCACTATTGTGTACGATTTCTGTTGGCTGTTGAAGTTTTATAAGACAAATCCTGCTATTACAAATAATTCTATCATTGATACTAACTGCCAAACAGAAAAGTGGATGATAAATGGAGAAGTTTGCATAGGGCTTGTCGCAGACAATGAGTTGAGTAACATCAGATCTGCATCCAGCACATTGATAGTCTCAGAAGTGATAATGCTTGAGGAGTCTCATGAAAACAGGGAAACACTTGTAGCTAGTGAGTGCTTGAAGGCTAATGCAACAAATGAAACTGCACTCGACATATCTACTGCATCAGCACCATTTGTGATTTTGAAGGGACAAGTACGGAAGCTTCTGGTTCTGCAAGCAGTGAGGTATTGGGAAGGAAGAGGTGCGAGGGGATGAAGCTGAATGGCATGGCTGTTTCTCACTCCCAACCTTGAGGGCAAGGTGGTTGTCAAAGGGGGAGTAATGATTGAGACCTATATAGTACTAGTAATAAGAATAATATTGGTCTTTTAATATTGTAGAATAAAAGGGCTTTAGGCTGGAATTAAATAGCACTGGGCTAGCCCAAATGGAAAAGAATAAATAGGAGTTGGGGGAGTAGAATAGAGGCAGATAGAACTTGGGTCTTTGGGCTGGGAATTGGGAGAGTGGGACTGCTCTGAGTGTCTCTGCTTGTATTTTCTGTTTCGTCCACCAGTTTCTTCCTCAATTTACATAAAATTTCCGTTAGATTGTAGCGTGTCTAACAGACAAACATGGAAGTGAAACATGAAAGGTGTTTCAGGATGGATGCAGTATCATGAAAATGCTCCCTTCATATCAGTTTTCACCTTATTAGTCTCTCGGGTGCTGAAGAAATTTATTTACTGCCGAATGAGCATTTATTTACTTTGAAGTTATATAACCCACTTCAAGAGGGTTATTTTGATAAAAAATCATCATCACAATTATAATCTTTAAGCTTTATATATAAGCATCATATAATTATTCAAGCCATCGTCTTTCATCACTTCTTTGAATTTTTGTACTCCTGTTTCAGAACAACTTATGCCACATAAAATAAAGAAGTCCATTGTGACAGTCTACTTTCTTTTTATGTAAAATTTCTAATAAGCCAAGTTGCAATTGGTCTAGTCAATTACTCAAACTATCTATGCAATAAATTTTAGAGGTATAAGTAACCTTTCGTAATCCCTAAAAGTTTCCACAGTTCCACCTTAAAGAAGTTCACTAAAACAAAATGTTGTACCTTAGTACTGATTTAGAGGAAACTTGTATTTCTCTAGTTCCCTGTTTGTTTTCAGTACATCTCTACTTCCCTACTTTTTTGGTACATCTGTGCTTTCCTACTTTAAGTGGGGAGATAATGTGGACATGCTGTCACTAGAGGCATGTCAATGTTTAATTTAATATAATTGATACAATTACTTTTAAAACCGAAATCAGCTTATTGCTTTCTATTGATATGTCAAGTTGTGGTCTATTTTTTCACAAACATCTTGTTTTTAATCTGTTTGTATTTCTCCATTTATGTGTTTTTCTTGTGGTGTTAATTTTCAGGCTGAGAGAACAAGAGAACGGTTTAAGCAGGTATTGCTTCAGGAGCCTTGTTCTCTAAATTTGGAAATTGCATTAAATGATATTATTTGGAGAGCTTATCTAAAGTTTCCCTATGAAATCAAAAATAATGTAAAGATTGCATTTTCTAGGATTCATTTTTCAACTTATACATGATTGATAATTCCTGCAGTTGATAGAAAATGTGGTTCCAGTTACGCAAAAGCGAAGACCACGTCGAGTCCTGCGAAGAGTTAACTCCATGCAGTTGTAACAGGCAAATGATGCCATATATTTTCTCCGGACTGTTTGCCTTATTTGCACAACTTGCGGAGGAAGTCGAGCGCTCCATCAGTCCAGAAACCGTTCTATTCCCTAGATTATTAGTATGGGTGGCTGGGTGGTTAGTTACCCAGGCAGGTATGGTTGAAACATTGCTTCCGAATATAGTTTCATGAGCTGTATTCTTGTGCTGTATCATTATTGGGTATGCATCTGCTATCTGTATGTTACTGTGCCTATGTATAGATGCAGTGTTTCCGTAAAGTTCACGTGGCATTGAACAACGGAAGGTCCTGATTTCTCAACCACCTTGCCACACTGTATTTGTTATTAATAGACCAAAACCCTATTTGAGGTTGCGTTTGCGGTAGAGACTTTCTTTTTTGTTGTAACTTCACCCCAAACAGATGTAGTGGTGTTCTTGTTGTAAAACTGTACATTGTATTTCAAGCTTCGTCCAACATTCAAAAATGAAATTAAAAAATGATTGCCCAATAAGGAGATTTTCTCAAAATATGCCCTAATATTGTTGGGCATAATAGGGGATTTTCTCAATTAGGGGAAGAAGTATGCTTGTGTTTCAGAAACTCTATCAAAACTCCATAAGCTCTTTGCATAATTGTTTCTTGTAATTAAAACATGATTTTCCTGTTTCACATATTTCCCGTTTCTGTCCACTTGGGTGTCTTGTACATATTTCCCAATAAAATTGCTGTCATTTTAGTTTTTCAATTAAATGAAAAACCGAGCACTCAAAATCAGATTTTGAACCAGTTCCGGCTACCCCCTAACTCTTACTCGGAATCGGTTCGGTCCAACCCTAATTCCAAATCTCATTGCTACTATTTTGAGCAATTTCCCAATTAATTATGCACACTATTGTATAAAATATATTCCTGATGTAATTGAAAAATATATTTATACAATATTGATCATATTTTGTTTATATTACGTATTTTTTATTCCTCTAATTTGAAATGCTTTGATTATGTAGTTAAAATATGTGTATTTGAAAATAATAGTTTTTTATGATTATAATGTATTTTCAAAATCTAATTATGAAGGAGAATTATTTTTAATTATACGTGTATATAGATAAATATGTATATATAGTGTTGACTAGGTTTACCGGTTATTAACTGGGTTGACCCTCGGGTCTGGGTTGACCCTTGACCCGGTCACTCGTCCGGGTCGTCTCCCACTCTCCCGGTCCGTATCCTTAAACATAGACTTACTTAGCATTAAAGCAATTTTCCAAATGCACATTCACATTAATGTGAAACTTCTATTAATATCACATTTCAACCATTTTACATTGGTAAAGGAGTCAAATAACTCATTCTACTATTTCCAATCTCACTTAAGCTCTTATAATACAAAAAGCATGATATAAGTACATTATTTTAAAAAAACAACCAATCTCTCCTTTTAACCGGGTTTTGAACTATAATAACGTATTTTGTTTTAAAAACTTTAAAGTTTAAAAATTCTTAAAATTTGAAGTCTATATTTTTGCATTTTTGGAATTATTTGTATATTCTACTTTTTTTTACCCCGGAAGGAAAATCACCAAAATCAGTGGGGCAAACGTCGGAGGAACGCTTGCCAGAATTTTATTAAGAATCAATGCATACAAGAGAGGGGGACCGAACCAAAACCTCCCATGAAAGAATATAAAGAGAATAAACAATAAAAGAAATAGCTAAAAATTATACTCGCAAATTAGGGAGTCCAAAAAGATCTGCATAGTAGCTATTTTCCACAATAATCGAAAGATGGCTCAAACTATCAAACCGGACAAATTGGCCCGTATCCAAAATCTGACTTGCCAGTAAATGGGCCGGCCCGTTGCCTTGTCTAAAGACATGCCCAAACGTATACCCTTTGCCTGTCGCTTTCCTCTTGAAACTTCGAACCCCAGTAGGGTTTCCTGATTCGTTAGATAGAATAGCCAGCGATTGAGTAGCATCTGTCTCCACATGAACATCAACATAGCCCTCCTCCATCGCCATTTCTGTAGCAACCATCAAAGCCTCAAGCACCGCCTCCTCATTCGACATCACGCTAAGAAGAAAGCACACCGCCCAAATGAACTCACCTGATTTGTTCCCCAGGATGGCTCCACCGGTTGCCCTGTTAGGTAAATACGATGCATCTACATTCAATTTGTAGCATTTGTATATTCTACTTCTTTTTAAAAGTTATTACTTTTTTTACATTTTCACATTATTTTTTCATTTTTACGATTTTTTATTTTAACAATTTATTTTTTTTATCAAGTTTTTATTTTCACTTATATGATACTTTTTTTAGTATAGAAACTTAAGTGATGTATTGAATATAGCAGAAGTGTCTATTTGACATTTTCCCCTAAAAGTAACATATACTTTATATATAGGACATATGTAGTACGTAGTATTATATAGAGGTAATTTGAGTTTGCACCTCATATTGTTGTCCAAATTGGACTTTGCACCCATATGAAAAGACAAAAATATTCTCAATTAGGAATATGTTGAAGGCCAACAGAATTGTTAATGGAGGGGCATTTTTGTCTTTTCACATGGGGTTGGAGTGCAAAAACAAAGTTTTTTAAAAATGGGGTGCAAAGTTCAATTTGGATAATAAAATGAGGTGCAAACTCAAATTACCCCCATGATATACTCGGTAACTTATTGTGTTTTAATAACACAGGAACTCAATGCAAAAAAATTGATTAGAAAATCAAAGTGTGCCTAGTAGGATAGTATTACGTAAGCCTTTCCGTGACATTGTATAATGGTAAAAGATATTCCGTAATTCCTTTCCCATATAAAAGACATTAATAATGGCATTAATATTACTATTTAGCTTTCTAATGACACAAATATTACTGCATTCCATTAATTCCAAAAAAGTGACCTAATTCAAAATTATACCCGTTTTTAATTAAACCCGACTACCCCCTTGCCAACTCACCGCAACTCTTTTTTTCTTCTCACCGCAACTCACCGCAACTCGACGACTACTTCTCCGACCGACTACCTTTCTTCTTCTACATCAATCTCTCTAACCATTCTCGATTTGTATTCAGGCGCGATCCAAATCTGTTAAGGTAATTCCGGCATCGAGTTTCATATTTGTGCTTTAATATCTCCATTGTCGATTAGTGAGTATTTGTTGATTTTTCTAAGTAGAAACAAATCGTTTTTTCTCGTTTTTCCTTTTTCTTCTTCGTACGTTCTTTGTATTTACGAGTAGTTTAAGTTTTTGAAATAGTTCATGCCTACACTTCATTCAGAGTAGTCCAGTATTTAATTTTTCATATCCATCTCTTTCAATTCTTGCCACTATCAAGGTATATATATGCTTAATGAATTCCATTAGTACAATACTGATTAGGTTATTCTGGATTATTTAATGATGACTAAGGTTAGGTTATGTGCATTTCAACTCACTTCCTTTAAAACATTTTGTGATGTTGTATGTTCATTTTGCTTTCTGTTTTGGATACATTTTTGCAGACATGCTGACAGTGATTTCACTTCGCCCCTCAATCCAACCCCATCACGACGATCATCTAGTCGTTTATCCTTGTCACACAGGGCAAAACCAGTTAGTTATTTTGTTTCTGTTCCTTATTGAGTTGCTTCTATTTTTATCCAAATATTATCTATGAAGACGTAAAGAATAGGAGGGTTAATAACTTTTCTAGGCTTTATGGGTCAATAAATCTAGTGAGGTCTAAACTACTTCCTGACCAGCTTGAGATGTTTAAGACTTCAGTATTTGGAAAGTTTTTAGAAGCCAAGGATATGTCTTGTTGTGGACAGCTAGTACATTTCCTTATAGGCAACTTAGTTGAGATTGAAAACAACAACAATGCTCTGTCTTTTGAAATCCGAGATAGACTCCTAACATTTTCTCAATCTGATTTCATTGAAATTACGGGTCTCCGGTTCAGTGATAATGTCCCTACTTTAGAATCGAAGGTAGGTGATAGAGGAGTTATATGGAAAAAATATTTTCCTCAGTCTAGAAAAAGGTCAAACGTAAGGACAGTAAGACAATATTCCAGTGTATTCAGAGGGGAACAGAACCAACTGATGACATTATTAAGCTCTCCCTTCTTTTTATTTTATCCCATGCCTTTTTAGCCACTGAAGGTCAAGTGTCTCTTAATAACACTTATGTCAACCTTGTTGATGATCTTGATGCTTTTAACTCTTATCCATGGGGAACCATCATTTGGAATGATATGTTTAGTTACTTTACTGCTGCTCCTAAAAGCTTGTCATCAAATCCTTCTCATTATAATATCAATGGTTGTGTTGTCGCCTTACAAGTTTGGGCTTTTGAGTCATTTCATGTACTCAAAGAACTAGGTGTAGCTCAAATGGTAGACCCTAGTGCTGTCCCTAGGATCCTAAGATGGGCTTCAAATTGTAAGGTTACCAGTGACACCTTGAAGGAGTGTATTTTCAACAACAAAGATGTGGGTTTTTCGCTTATCTGTCTTTGTAATCCTTTTTCATGCTTGTCCATATTCTCACTTTTCAATATGTGCATTTTCAGTTTAATTTCAGTCCAATTTCACATTCAAGCAGTGTCGATCCTTCAGATACTGCTCCCAAACGGCATTTGAGGAAGAAATCTTCAAAACAAACCCAAACAACCATTCCATCTCCCTCTGTCGTTGCTCATACATCTAGAGCAATGACACCAGAAAACCCCCACCCTCATATTGATGATATAAGTGACCATGCGACTGTTTCAAATTCCAGAAACTGTTCTCATAAAGCAACCCGTCAGAAATTGGAAGCCAGAATTTCTTTCCTTGAAGAACAAGTGCAAAGCTTACGAAGTGAAGTTGCTGGATTTGATGAAAAATTTAAAGAACAACAACAATTGATTCATGACTTTGAGAGCTATTGTCGGATATTCACGAAAACGTGTGCCATCTGCTGGCGTAGGATCTCCCAAAACTTCAGAGAAGAATCAGTGTTATCCTGGTGAGGATGTTATGCACCATGACTCAGGCCTTGAGGCTGCTGCTGCAATCCAGAATGATGATGCTGGATCAAGTGCTACACTAAATGGTGATGCACCAGAAGCAAGTTGGGCACAAATATTCAGTGTTGCCTTTGACCTTTATGATCCCAAAGTAAGTTCATACTTTAAAACTTGTCTACTTCTATCCACACTTTACATTTCTTACTCATCATTACATATTTTTCTAATCGTTCAACCACCCAAACTGCCTGTTATTGCTCCAGTTATATCTACTCTAAATGATTCTGGTGATTTATGTTAGGAAATTGATGTAACGTACCTCGAAAGTACGAAAGCGGAAGTTTAAAATCTTCCCTGATTATGACAAAATCCTTGACCTTTAGTATCCACGTGATTTCTCCTTTCCGAAAGAACGGTTAGATTTCCCTAAGAGAAAGGCTAGGAAATCTCTTCGTAGGGAAATAAACTGATAATACTGAATCTTAAAACTCGTATGTAATTATGAAGGGGGGATGTATTTATACTAGTTCTAAACTAGTTTCCCAATCACAATGAAAGTCTTTCTCATTAATGAGTTTTAGTCCAACTAGGACTAATACTCATAATTAATTAAATAAAGATATAATAATAAAATACATGGTACGTACATACTAAATGGGAATGGGGAATTCACAACCTCA